TATCCGAATAAAGTCCATTAATATACATATATGTTAACTCATTGTGAATGTAGTGGTCGGAAAGTATTATCATTAACATTACTGTAAACATATTTGGATTCCTCCTTTCACAGTTGTTTATTTTGTGGGCTTTGCCATTTCAATGTAAGTGTTTTATTGTTCTTTAACGTCCTTTCTATGATATACCAAAATTATTTATTTTAGGCTATTGCTCTTACGATTTGCTCCCGGGATTGGTATCCTTTCAAAAGCATCAACACTTAATGGAAATCTCACGACAAGAGATCCCGACAATCGAACAGCATACCCTGATTTCAACATAACGAAACCTTTGGATTGGACGGATAGCTCAGATAATTACTACAATTGGGATAAATCAATCGAGCGGTATGCTGGGATCAGATCGACAATTGGCAGTTGATTTTATCGCAGCATATTTCTGGTTACCGTGATGCAAAATCTTTTGGATTAATGGGTTTATTATGAAATAATCCAGAATTGATTTTAATATACTATAATCTATTTTAGAAAAGCATTGGAAGAAACAGCTCTAGAAAAAAGAGCAGTCATGCAAATGCGTGCACATCTTGTTAATATACTATCCGGACGCATTTTCATAAATTAGATACATTTACTACATTCAAGGCGAAGAACTAAATAAACTATGGCAAAAAATCAAAACAGAAGCAAGCGACCAGAAACAATTAGCACAGATTGATGATCTAGAGGAAAATACAAAAGACGAGCTAGCCTATACCAAAGAAGCGTCTGATAAATTGGAAGCTCGTATGAAGAGATTAGAAGGTTGTATCGATATTAGAAACGACTCTTGGTGAAATTTTGAAAATTAATTTACACAAGCATTGATCTCTACTACCTCGTAAAAAAATAATGGACCCAGAGATTCCTCGGAATGGTGTTTATGTTGTAGGCACAGTGTCAGTTGCTGCTTTGGCTTACGGATTAATTTATCTACAAAGACATTCTGAAAAAAGCAATGAAATGAAAAATGAAGAGGATAAAGAGACGAAGTTAACAAAAAATTACTCTACCAAGTTCTCCCCGACCAAATTAAAAATAAAAAAAATCTAGCTATTCCTTCTTTAATATTTTCATCATTTTTTTATAATGTTGTTACGTGTAATTCTGAAGTTAGTTGGCATAGAGAATTTCAATCGCAATAAAGTGTATGAGAACTAGACTGAATGATTGTCGCGAATTGGGTTTCACTAAGGCTATAAAAGGTCTATCTACACGGAGATTGAGCAATCATGGTGGCAAAGTTAAAGGAATAGGAATTAAAGGTAGAATACGTAATAGGATTTATCTTTATTTAACGCAAACAGCTGTACTTCAAATAAATTAATATTTCTAATCAAATAACAGTTCGAGAGACTGAACGTATTCTACGTTTCTACAAGAAGTGCGGGTCACTACACCCCCTACAATATATTACTGGAAATCCGAAAAACGAATCTGCCACTTTGAAATCCAATATCTTTATTTAAATGAGATCACTGGATTATGAGAAATTGGGTTCCAAAATGAATAGTTTCATTTTTGAAATTTCCGGTAATATATTGTAGGGGTGTGTACATACAAAGTGTGAATTGTTATTAATTTTTTTACAAAAGGCGCGTGGATCCACCCTAATTTATTATTTATTGTTCCACAATGCGACGTTTTTCCAACAATTTTTAATAAACTAGATAGCAGATTGAGACATCGAAAATATCATTAACATAATGATCTTCGAGTTGACAATTAAAGAGCATAAACAAATTACCGCAACATTCGCAAAGCATATGTAACTATTGATTCGATTCAAAATCTTTTATGACAATCTTATCAGTTATTGATTTGATGCGTCCTTTAAAGAATGCGAAAAGTGATATTCAGATAAAAAAATCTAACAAGCTATTACAGCAGATCACATGTATCATTACGTATATGTACATTATCTTGGCATTAAAACATTAAATGTAATCAATAATTATACAAATACATGTACACTCACTGGACAAAAGTTTGGAATCGGGGGTGATCGACATAAATAAAGGGGTGAGTTGCATCGTTA